CACTAATCAGCAAAATAATATGATGATATAAAAAAAAGGTTAAATTGCCTTTTTTATTGTCATTGGACTAAAGCCAAAAGAAATTATAAAAATATCTGTAGAATTATGTTATTATTTATTACTGCACTGGACTAAAGATTTTTCTGGTCGACTAGTAGTCATTCATTTGAAGCGATTAGTCGACTAATCATGTTTATATTAGTAGACCATATAAATGCTTAATAAGCATTTAATTGTCTATTGCCTATCAGCACTCATGCGCTCACATACAGCTTGACACAGCACACCGCAGAAGTAATGATTATGAATGCGTCAGGAAAAAACAGCAAGAAGACTGAACGTGCACATTTCATACGGATTCTCAGATTCAAAAGATGTATTACTCTTATCTGTATGAGCTAAAATGATGGAGTATTTTAAGTTAAATGTAAATGATCGCACTGGCGCCTCCAAGTTAACTGTCATACAGTGAGCGTGCTACTGTTCAGATTCCATACTCCACACAAACAATAGTGTGTTCAATAGTGCACATTTGTCTAGGTTAATGTTGGAGCGAGCAGTCATGTAATGTTACTGCTACTTGATAAGCCACATTTGCAGTCGATGATCAAAACGAACGTTTGGATGTCCTGACCGATGTACTGTAATTACCACACAGACCAGCTGTTAATGATCTGTCCATCATGGACTACATGACTTTGCCACTTCCTGTGGACTTTTTTTCTGCGATTAAGCGACTAATGAAATTTTGAACGACTAAGCGTCTTCTGGTCAACTAACGGTTAGTTGACTATTAGGGGGCAGCCCTACTTTTTAGTAAGTCAGTTTATTTGTAGGGTGCTTTTCAGATTAAATATTTGGCTATTTAAATAAAATATTTAATAAAATAATAAATATTTAAATACAAATCACAAGCCCAAACTTCCTGTTTCAATAGGAAATGCATCAACGCAAGAAAGAAGACCTTGTTCATCAGGTGATTTGTTTTCATGGGGTTTCATGGTGAAGAACATTTGATGTGTTTGATGAAAAAATGGCGTTACAGACTTTTCTAGAGAAGTTTAGCAAAAGTGAGCATGCTGAAAAAAAACTTTCTTTCAGCATATGGCATATATCAGTGGGCTTATCTTCTCAACAAACAAGGTAAAATCTGGTACCATCTGAGATGTCTACTGTCATGTCTCTCCTGAGACTCCTGAAGACAAACATGTGGCGTATCCTCAAGGGCAAAACTGGACAGTTGATTCTCGCAGGAAAAGAGCCTGGTGTTAATTCCTGTGGATCGCACCGCTCCTCATTTGTTCAAAACACCAGGGTGTTAATTCATTAAGCACCGAGACTGTTAATTTGCCCAGGACCAGCTGCCGGAAAACCACAAGGTCAGAAACAAGCTTTCTAATACGAGTCCTTGAAGGCTGAGACTTATTTTAGACTCGGGTTGAAAGATGTCACAGAAAGAGTAGAACAGAATCAAATGTCTCCTTAAGAATGGTTACACAAGGCATTCTTTTAAATTCATGCTTGTTTCTTCCTTGTCATCCCATCAGTGTGGTCAGATGTAACCTATTATCTGAGCCCTGAAGCAGCACAGGGCTCTGTTGACCCACTGGGAGTTGACACATCCATCATGGAAACGCTCATAAATGCCACAGACTAATTTTTCAAGGGTAGGCCGATCCATATGCCTGTGATAGGGGTTGTTCTGTGGTGACCTCCAGTGGAAATTAGGTCTTAAAGGAATAGCTGTTACTGAAGACCAAGACATCTCATCTCAGAACTCATTCATCACAGTAGTTTTATAACATAAACAAATTAAAACATGAATTGGAATATGCACCAATGTTAAAAGGGCTAAATGTACTGTACATATCATTCACCACCATGAGGAAACCTTTAAAATTAAAACTTGGAAAAATATAAAAAATAAAAGCTAATTCTGAAAAAGCTTATATTAATAAATAGTATAATAGTTTTGAAATAATACTGTAACAACACTGCTGTCATACACCACCTGCATCCTTCCTACACTATAACAAAAACTGTACACTCTAAAAAATGCTGGGTTGTTTCAACCCAACTTTGGGTCAAATATGGACTAACCCAATTGTTGGGTTACATTTTTTAATTAAATATTTTAACCCAAAAGTTGGGTTAGTCCATATTTGACCCAAAGTTGGGTTGAAACAACCCAGCATTTTTTAGAGTGTAGAAGAACAACTATTTAAGTCTTTCTACTTCAAAATTCCATGTTTACTTTAATGTGGTACTTACAAATTATTTGTAATTAATTGGAAATTACTGTCCATTTCTGAGTGAAAATAGTTTCTACATTTTTTTCAGTGTATTACACCAATCTCATGCTGAGTTTTCATGAAATCAGTCATGGCAAACTTATTTGTAATTCTTTTAATGTTCCTTGAGGCTCACTTATTATGTTAGTTTATTTTCACAAACTATATTTGCAAAACATGATTATTTTGTGAATATTAACAACATGAAGGTAATGTATGGCTTCTTGAGACCTTCTTGATACTGCATTTGCCATGCTGTTTATATATATATATATATATATATATATATATATAGTTCT